TGTAAATATGACTTCCAGCTGTGATGTTCCAGTTCGTTTTGCAGACGATAAGCAGGATCTTGGTGGAAGAGGCTCCTTCCTGATGGAGAACAAAGTTCCAGTCTGCTGCCAGGTGATCCGGGACGGCCCACACCGAGGCTACGGCAAGAGCAGAGGGACAATCCAGAATCAGGGTGGGGGGAGGGTCTGTGTGTGTGACATGGAAACGACTTTGGCAGAACAATCTTAAAGCTATGCTGGGTGATGATTGGCTGATTGCCCCCCTCTCCCACTTCCTGGTTGACCTCATTCATTTCGTGACATTATTTACACATACGCCACCTGCTGGTCAAGTGCAGGAGTTCAGCAGGAAGAGGAAGTGATGTCAGAGAGCTTGAACAGTCCCGCCCTCTCCACAGTAGGCTGTCAGTCATACAGAACGCAGCAGTACCTTGAGTCTTGCTCCAGGCTCCAGATCCAGGTGTCAGAAACCATCCTTCACTCCTTTGATCAGGATTGGAAGGAGGAACCGGGTCTAAAGGATCCGGTCTGATTCGCTGTGACAGCCAGGAAGGTTTTCCTTTAACGGATTATCAGAGTTCTGATGTTCTCAGGTTCTGATCCACCAGGGAAGGTCAGTCTGGATGCCGTTAACCATCCCCAGACCATTGTGGATCAAACTGGTTTTCTCTGAAACGGTTTGAGAAGAGGCTGTGATGTGAACAGGTTTAAACGCTAACCTCTGGTGTCGGTTGTCGTGGGGCGGTTCTGACCCAGAGTCCCACAGAGACTGTAAACAGACGACTGAACCAGCTGGCAGAGTAGAGGGGGCTGCTTCGCTGGACGAGAGGCGGAGCCTGGAGCCAGACTCAACGTGACCCGGTCAACAAACAAACCCACAAGTTGGAGAAATAACAACACATTCCTGTTTAATGTCGGACTCGGACCAAGTCAGAACCTTTACAGCATGTTAGAGCAAATCAAACTGGAGCCGATGAGAAGTGAACAGCCAACAGGAAGTAAACAAGTCACTGCAGGTTTGGGAGCCCTAACGTCAGGTGACTCAGACGCCACACGTGGCAGAAATATTGGGAGCTGTAAAAACAGAGAGTCCACGGCAGATTCCTATCATTCAGGTTCTGTTCGCTCACCAAACTCCTCAGCCTGTACACAGATTCATACATCTGCAAAATATTAAAAAGTACTTAATATAAAAATACAGAAGAATTGTAAAAAATGAACAAAACATTGAATTTTATATGAACAACATGCAAGAAAGGTTTCCTACTTAGTTAAACAGTAAAATAGAGGAAAGGAAGGGGGGAGGG